TAAAATGGCAATGGGCCACCTTTTTTAATGGCCTGAACTAAGGTCCAGCGAATCTGTCAGCATGTCTTGTCCTACTTGCATTTCTAGGGAGAAAGCCCCACAGGGTCGGTCGGTACCATTCAGTGTATCAGTCAGTGTGGTTGGCCGACAGGGCTGAAATTCTTTCAAGCCCAGCGTGCTACAAATGCTGTTATTCTGATGACTTCCTGCAGCCTCTGTGACAGTGTCTTTCTCTAGCTGTCACTGGCCGGCTCGTTTTCTCTGGGATTCAGTCTTGGGCCTTTTCCTTTATATTTAGTTGTCTTTGTTGATCAGGGTTACCTCATGTGTTTTCATACTTCCCAAGTGTCTTTAATTATCACTTCAGCATCACAGTATGACTCCAGTCTTTCTTTTCAAAGTTACTCCCCTAAACGTCTTTATATTTCTTACAAGATGGCCCAGCTCTAAGTTTTTGGGTCTCCCTGTGCCTCCTTCATGAGGGAGAATCTGATATAAGGCCCCGATACTTAAAGAACTTATAGACTAATCCAAAAATATTAAAAAACACACATACTTTTACTATATGCCAAAGAATGGCATTTTCCCAGGTTTCTGTGAGTCCAGAGGTGGGAGCAGTTATGTATGCAGGGGAGGAACAAAGAATATTCTTGCAGGAGGTGATGTGACATGGCCCTTGAAGGATGGATAGGGCTCAGAAACACAATGGTGCACAGAAGTGCATTCAGCAGAGCAAAATCCAGAGCTAGAACTGGGTGGGAATGTAAGGGAGTTACTTCACTTGCATGGACATGGGGCTACGCTGGAAAGGGAGGCTGCGAAGAACCATGAAGCAGGCTCACATTTGAATGTTACTCTGCAGGTGATGTGGGTCCGCTGATGGTTTTAGAACTGGGGAGTGGTGTTTTTAGGATGCTCCTTCTGCATGTTCAGCCTGGTGTCGAGTATTGAGTTTGGAGGAGAAGAAAGAGGAAGAACTCCTCAATTAGACAAGTGGCAGTAGGAATGGAGAATTAGCAGAGATATGAGGTAGCCTTTTCAGGGTAGTAGAGAGGAAGGGTCCATGTTGACCCCCAAGTTTGAGCATGAGTCCCTGGAGGACTCAGACTGTTAGGAATACTATAGAGAAAAGAGAAGGTGGGCTGGTGGGGTGGGAATGAATGTGTACACATTGGACTGGAGGCATCTCTGGGAAATCCAGCTGGAGATTCTAATCCCCCCTCATCCAATGTCAGCACTGGCTGGACTTTTCAGGTCAGGAAGGTCTGGGCCCCTCCCCCATTCCAGCCCTGGCATGGTACCCAGATTTATCTGATCTGAGGCAGGAACCATGAGGCTCCTCTCACCCCATGGGCATAGGTGCTGGGGCCTTGGTTCCTGATGGCTGACCTCAGGCTGATGACGAGAACCTTGCTGCCCACCACCAACCCATGTGCTCTGCCTCACATTTTTGCTTGTCTTCTTTTCAAATTCTTGTCAACTCTCTGACATTCTCAATCATATAGGGACAGAAAACCCTGCCCTCAGTTTGTGCCAGGGTCCTGATATCCATGGACAGAATCCAATGGTTAAAAGTTAGGCTTTAAAGGTAATTTCCTGGTTCTCTGTCTCTTTCATCAAGCAGTGGGATGCTCTGGCTTCTAGTCATGGACCATTTCTTAGGCCCATAGGGTTGTCTCAACTCTTCTGTCTGCAGGACCTGGTCTTCTGTGCCTGTGTCATTCTCAGGGATGGCCCTGACCCTCTCCCTGCTCCCAGGTGCTGCTTCTAGTCCAAAGTGTACCTCACCAGTGACTGCAGGAAGCATGAGGTATCCGCAGGGGCTCACACTGCACCCTGCACTCAGCTGGGACCTCTGATGAAAGCATCCTGCATCCTGCCTCTCAGGTTTCCACCATCCCTTTGGATTCTCCCTCCCTCTATCCCTCACAACTGGACACCTGGCTTTCACTCAGTACTGGAGGCTTTGGACTGCCAGTGCTGGTCTCACCTATCTTGGCTGCTTTGGCTGCAGGGTATACTGTGTTCTGACAGTGGCACATCCATTTCCATGGGTGCTTCCTTTGTGTTTATGGTTTGGGGACTGCAGAAATAAACCAAAGCTGGGGAGAGATCCAGGAGTGTCTAGCGCCTCTGTGACTTATTTAGTCAAACATCTTCAATCGCTTTCTTCTCATTCTGAAGACTTCACATAATTAAAACCGTTCTTGGCCAACACTACATAAATGTTGCACATGCTGCTTGAATTACTGTGCAATCTTACTCCAGTGTGGCTTTCTCAGAGATTAATATTTCACTGAAATGATTCCTCTGGGTAGGCTGAAGCCAGCAGCTGTGGAAACTCAACATTTGCTTTGTACAATGAAACTTTAGGACATTCTCAGATATGTGCTCATTTGGAAAAGAAATAAGCATTCTTGCCGGTTTGTTTGACATGAAGCAAATATTGTTTCTATATATTCAGATAGAAAGTGATGAAAAATGTCATTCTAAATGCCCATTGTATAAATTGGTGCATCGATGTCAGAATTACAATTTGCTGAGCACCTACTACATCGCAGGCATCTTATGTGTTCTGAGTCTTCACCAACAACCTGTGAATATGTCAGAACTGGGCTTCTTTGCCTTCTGACATGTGCTCTGCTACGGGTGGAAGGTGCTGATCTGGGGGCTGCCTTTCTCAGACTCAAGGCTGCCCTGGCTTCCACAGCCTGTGCAGACAGTGGGGTAGGCTGGAGGATAGAAATACACCATTAAGGGGAGCAGTAGGTGAGACAGGAGAGGTCTGCTGTGCCATGTGGGTAGCTCTCTGGCTGGGGATCTAACTCAGGCCATAGCTGTGATAGCTCTGAGACTTAGCCCTAGGCCACCAGGGAGGCCCTTATGACTATTCTTTATTTTACCCATTCTGATAGGTAGTGGCATCTCATTGGGGTTTTAGTTTGCATTTTCCTAGTGATAATGATGTTGAATATCTTTTCTTAAGTTTATTTGCTATCTGTATACCTTACCTGGAGAAATGTCTTTTCATGACTTTGTCCATATTGCAAATGGAAGATATGCCTTTTTACTACTGAGTTGTGAGAGCTTTTTATATATTCTAAATACTAGTCACAAAAGGGAAAGTGAAAGGTGGTTGAAGCATTGATGGAATAATGTCTGATAGGAAGGAGGAAGGGATTTCATGAAAAGCACAGGAGACAGGAAGGAGGGAGCTATGGATCAGATGGAAGAGGTTCCTGTAGGCTGACCTCGATTGTCTCTGGGATGATGGGAAGTATAGGAGAAGGGAGGCTAGAAAAGGGAGCTGGATGAAAGAGGTAGAGATTGGGTGCATTTTCTCTTGGAAATGAGGTGAGATGGCATGTAGGACATCCTAACAACACAAGCGCCTCACAGAGGATGCACTGATGCTAACAGGAAGAAGGGCAGATGAGAGCTGGAGTGATCTTGTGGCTAGGCCTGGGTGTGGTGGGAGAGCAGCAGAAAGTGCAGGTGAGAGGCGAGGTAAGGTACTTACAGAAGCCAGGCTGTAGAGAGAGCAGTGAGTGTGGGTAAGACTTACAAACTGGGTGGGCTAGAGAGTATAAGCAGCCTAAGGGCTCAGAGGGGTGGGAGAGCATATTTACTTTGATTCCAGGAGTATGAAAGTGAGAGAAGTAGAGTGGAAAGTTCTGGTTGGAGAGTCAATTTCTGGGGGTGAGTCATTCATCCAGCAGTCCCTCAACATCAGCTTTGTGGGAGACTCTGGGAACACAGGAGGGAAGTGCTCCCTGCCCTTAAGGAGCTCACAGCCCAGACTGCAGAGGCGGCACTTTTCCAGGTCGGGATATGTCCCTGGAAACGGTTTGCTGAAGGGCTGCCAGGGACGGCTGTTGGAGCAAAGGAAGCCAAGCAGCTGGCAAGCTAACACGCTGGATGTGTCACCTGCAGGTGTTTATCAGTCCTGCAGAGAAATCCAGGGCTTCTCTGTGCTCAGTCATTTCTCTAGAGTCACATGTATCCTCTCCCTGTCCTGTGATGTGGGAGCTGTTTTTCCATTGAAGCCTTTGGAGCCCAGACTCTGACCACGATGGGGTCAGTTCGTGTGTGTGGTTTTCAGTGCTGCAGCATGGAGGGTGAGCAGACAGACCTGCTACCACACCAGTCATGTGATTCAAATTTCCTTTTCTTTTATGCCTCTATTTCCTTTGCCAGTAAATGGATATAGGAAGATGCTACAAATCCTTTGCGAGGCAGGAGCACTGGGATAACTACCTGTCGTGATGTAGGTAAATAGGCTGCTGCAGGCATCGGCAGGAAGCAGTGACTTGGGCAAGTGTGCATGTGTGGAGCAGGCACACTCTGCTGCTGGCGCTCTGTGGCTGATTTCACACTTTCTACACACTTCTAGATGAGGCTTGCAACAGAAGGGACTCACGTGGGTCCCTGCCTCCCAGGGGCCCCCAGCGAGTCCCCTCACTGGCTCTGAGTGTAGTTGAGATTTCCGGAAGGAAGGTACAGTTTGTGGGAATCCACGTCAGCTGCCGGTTTTCAGGCCCACACGGAGCAGTGTGGGACTTCATTTCATCACCCATCTGGGCACTGCTCTCTGAGAAGCAAAGTCCCTCCTTTCCTGTTCCAAAGAGGTGGGGCTGCAAACTTCACCAGGGCAGTGGAGACACATCCCACTGGAGCTGTTTTCTGGGTCTTGGCTGACAAAAGGGAAGAGGAAGCACGCGTCTTTGATCTTTTACCCCGCGCTTCCCTTTCTGCTGTGACTGGGGAGGTTGGGTTCTTCAGCCGTCTGGTTCAAATTCCACATTAAATACTGGCGATGGACCTTATTCTCTCAGGGGATGCTATTCCATAGCTTTAGGGGTCCAGACAAACACCACTGGGGCTTCTCTGCTAAGCAGTCTATGAAGACACCAGGGTGCAACCTCACGGGCACCTGATGGCGCTTTAGTTTTGGTTTATTTTTAAATTTTGGTTTATGTGTCACTTCTCTGTTGTTTCAGAGTCCGAGAAGACAATTGGGCCGAACCAGTGTCAGAACTTCCACTGCCTGACACCAGCACCATCAGGGATGAACCGTCCTCACCCGATTCTCCTCTGCTCTTGACAGCTCACCTCTCCTCAGGTAGCTAAAAGGATAATATTTCTTACACCCTCTGCATATTATGTAATGAGACAGTAGTCTCCTGCATGGGGTTCTGCATACCAGGGATGTCACAGCTACTGCTGAAATATAAGATGAAATGTACTCTACCAGACACCTTTCATTTTATGTATTGGTGACTCCGCTCACTGTCAATGGGTGGACTCAAGGTTCCAGAACATATGAATTAACTGCACTAGGAACAAAGATACTTCTAAAATGGAACCATTGAAGGAGCAAACAATGGATGTGATTAACCATTTAGTCTAAGGGGTGGTGTTCCAGGGTAGGGTGTAGGGCACCCCAGGATCCCCAAACCTGCCTTCTGTAAATGGGTTCTGTCATCCACCACATCAAGGCAAAACATACTCTAGTGCTAAGACCTTCAATGGAAAAGAACTTTAATACAATCAAGAGAAAGAGAGAAAGAATATAGTTTCCACGTCATACCCTTCCTCTCGTGGGTAAATGCCCAGCTAAACAGGGTTGGTCCAAAGCTGGGCAGCTGAGGCCCAAATCTTAACAAAAAGTCTAAGGAAACTTCTGGTGGGGACCCATTGGAAAGGGGCAGAAGGGGCCAGGCAAGTTTGGGACAAAAGGAACAAAATCAAAATGTAAGTCAAGGTAAAAGCTGCCATTGTCAGCCACCTGATGGGTCACTCATCCAAGTCTCTGTCTCTTCCAAGCGTCTCATTCTGGGTCCCCCAAGTCTCTGGTGCAAGTCAAAGGCCAAGAAGCAAGTTCAGCTTTTTCACCTGTCTCTCTGTTTCATGTGCCTCCTCCAGGTCTTCCTCCTTGATTCTTCCTTCCTTCTCCCAGTTCTCTCTAGCTTCTCCTCCCTGCCCAGCTCCACCCTTCCTTGGGTGGGTCGGGGAACCTGGCACCTCCCTTTTCCCTGAGGATTACCTTATTGAAGTGGCATTCTTAGGTCATTATCTACACCAGGGGACAAGTGTGGGTTCAGGAAAGCAAAATTTGGGGATGTAAGTGATAGTAGCTATGTCTTTTCAGTTGTGCTGCAGTTTGTCAGGTGGAGGAGCTTTGGGTCAAGGATAAAAGATGTCAGAGAGTAATATTTGTAAGAATTGGTAGGTGCTATGCAGAGAGAGTGTGTAGGGTGACAGGTCAAGAGTGTTCTGTAGACATGATTTTAACCTAGAATGGTGTGGGGTTAATCCAGTGTGTTATCACTGGGAGAAAGGCCTGGCTTTGAAAATATACCACTTATTAGTCACAATTTTGTCTTCATCCAGAGAATCCCCATGGTTTACTTGTGTAGAAGAGGAAGTGATCTAGATTTTGTGCCAACTGGCTCTCTGGTTATGAATTAATACACTGGTATTGGTTGACATTGTATTCTCTTGAGGGCTGGATTCACATGACCTGTTCTCGCAGATCCATTGCCTTTGGTCACTGGGAACACTGAGCTGCCCATCCAGGATATGGACCTGTGGGGTCCTGGTGTCAGGCCACCCCCACTCTGACACCTCTCAGACTATATTAGTGATCCCCCTGAGGTTCATAAACACTGAGAATAGTGTAAGTGATCAACACATTAATGACGTTTGTTCTAGAACAGCGTTTTTCAATCTCAGTACACTGACATTTTGGACCAGATAGACCTCTGGTTGTGGGATGTTTAGCAGTCTACTTGCTCTCCACCCACTTGATGCCCAATATCAACTCTCACCGCATTTGTGACAACTAAAAACATCTCGATATTGCCAAATGGGGGGCACACTGCCCAAGGTTGATAATCACTATTTGAGGAACTAGCCAGTGATAAGGCACTTCCTTGAGGAACAGCACAGAATTGCACTTGTCTGTAGATGAGCGCACCATGCCCCTCACCCTTATATACACACATACATACACACAGAGTTGTTATGAGGAATTGACTCACACGATTGAGAAGTCCCAGGATTTGCCATCTGTAAACTGGAGACCCAGGAAAGCTGTGATATATTCAGCCTAAGTATGAAGGCCTGCGAGCTGGGGGGCTGACGGTCTAAATCCCAAGTGGAGAGCTGGAGAAGAGAGAAGATGAGATGTCTAAGCTCAAATAGTGAGGCAGGAAACAGGCAAATTCCTCTTTCCTCCAACTCTGTTCTTTTCAGGCCTTCAATGGATTGGATGATGCCCTGCTTACTGGGGGGGTTAGGGGAGACGGGTGTCTGCTTTAGCGAGTCCACTAATTCAAATGCTAATTTCATCTGGAAACACCTTCACAGATATACACAGAAATAATATTTAATCTGGGTAGCCTGTGGCCAGTCAAGCTAACTCATAAAACTAACCATCACAGTAGAAGATGCAGAAATGTAAACCACCATGATGGAAAGTGTCCAGAGCTACCTGAAGCTGGTCCACCCCTCCAAGGGATGCCAGAGGGTAAAGGATTGGAGAACAGCATTTGAGTCAGTTCTTTTCTCCCCTAACTTTAGCAGCCTTCGTCTCCCTGTACCTGCACTGACTGACTCTCCTCTGCTGAGTCCTGAGCATCTTGGTGTCTTCACTAACCTGAAGAACTGACTGTGTGGCAGGGCCAGTAAGGACTTGCCTTCCTACCCTACATCAGATTTAAAAAGGAGACACTACATGAAATTCCTCCTGGGCCTGTGGTCTTTCAGTGTCTTAGCGCTTGGGCCCATGGGGCTCACAGGTCAGGTAGATGATTTTGCAAATTCTATGAAGCATCTTGTCAAATTCACATTTGATTCAGAGGGCCTAGGGTGGTGCCCAAGATCATGCTGATCTAACAAGCTGCCCAGTGACAGCTATGCCGCCGCCCCCTTGAACCATGTATTTTGAATAGTGAGAATCCAGGCTAGGGACCTGCAGACAATGCCTGAGCCAAATTGGGTCCACCACCTATTTCTGAAAATAAAGTTTTATTGGAATTCAGCCACACATTCATTTACATTGTACCTGTTAACTTTTGTACCACAGTGGTAAAGCTGAATAGTTGAAACAGATTATATGATTCCAAGAGCCTGAAATGTCTGCTCTCTAGCCCTTATGGAGAGGGTGCACTGACCCCTGGTCTAGGCTAACTTACCCACATGGACCAGGGGGTTCTTCCTGGACACTCTTGAGGATGTTGTCTTTCCTCAACCTTCACCTTTTTTGTCCCTATACCTCTTGCCTCTGGCTCCTGCCCTCCTCTCTGTCTGTGCCTGGGGCATAGGGAGACTTGTGAGAAGAATTTCTGTGCCCCAGTACAGCTTCCATCCTGCAGCTGGTTCTGTTAGAGTTCTGTTCTTCTGGGCACTCCACCCAGAACCAGTCAGCTCTGTGATCTGTTTAATCTTCAAGGCGGCTCACCCTCAGACCTGTCCAGAATTACCCTCTGAGACTAATGAACAAAACTCGGGCCTAATTGCTCTCTTTGTCTAGCCAGCCAGTATTTACTAAGACCTTCATTCATCAGGCACCATGCTAGGTGCTTAGGGTAACAAGATGCCTCTTCACTGTATAAGACAAACATGTAAACTGATGATTCCATTTACAATATCATAGGTATCATATTAGAAGAATACTTACCTTTTAAAAAAACCTGAAGAATTGGGGGCTTTACTATGGTAAACATTTTTTCAAATTGTTATAGAGCAACCCCAATATTAAACGGGTTCCTGGCTGTGGGTCCTCACCCGCGCTTTAAAGGGACTTACGAATACTCTACTACAGACACACACAAAAGGGTTAATAAAAGGTTTATTTACAAGAGAAAAAGAAATAAGGAAAATGTACAACTCAGGGAGAAAATAGGGAAATAAAGTCTTTAATGCGTCCTACCCGATCCCACGACCTGGAAACCCAAAGTCACTCTCAGAGCTGGCCGGACGCTGCGAGCTGGCCGAGAGCCCAAAAATGGGGGATCCCCAAAGCCCACGTGTCTGCCTTTTGTATCCACCTGGCTGCTTACCCCACCCTCAGGTCCCAGCCACCTTCCCTTTGGTGGTGATGGGATTTGGAGTTCCCAGTGTCTTTGGCTTTGACCTGGGGTGGGGGTGGAGTCCACAAAGCCTATATGGATTTGCTTTGGGACATCTTTTTCCCCCTAACAAAATCATGAATTTTTATTATATTTTCACAAAACCCTTTCTGTATTTATTGACTTATTGACATAAGTTTTTCTTATTAATTGACAAATTAATAATATGTTAAAATTGTTTACTGTCCAACTGGTAATAAATGAGATAGCATCTTTCATTTAAAATAAAGCCATATTCATGGATATAAATTCAAATTTTGTGGACTTTAATTTTAATATCACTTTAGCTCTTCAAACTGCTACCATTCTTGTTAGTTTAAAAAGAATATTTAATTTCAACATTCTTTAAATGAAGTAGCCTTCAAAGTTCACTGCTATGCCATAGCAAGACCTTATTTTTATTACTATTATTATTTCAAACTGTGGTAAAAGCAGATAAAGGTTTAGGTGTACAGCGCAGTGGCATTAGGCACATTCACACTCTTGCGAAACCCAGCCACCCTCATCTCTAGAACACCTTTGTCTGCCAAACTGAAACTTTGTCCCCTGTACCCATTAAAGGGTGGCTTTCCCTTCTCTCCTCCCCCATGCCTGACAGTCACCACACTCCCTCCTACCCCTAGGAATCTGAATACTATTTCATGTAAGTGGGATCAGAGAGTTAACTTCTTTTTGTGATTGGTTTATTTCATTCAGTTTAATGTCCTCAAGATTCCTTCCTTCTTAAGACTCAGTAAAATTCCATTGTGTTTATCTGCCACATTTTATTTTTCTATTCATATATGTGTTGACAAGTGGATTGATTCTGCCTCTAGGCTATTGTGACTAATGCTGCATAATAATTGGAGTACAAACATCTATTCAATTCCTTACTTTCAGGTGTTTTGGTGTATACCTAGAAGTGGATCATATGGTAAGCCTATTTTTAATTTTTGAAGAACCACCATTTCTAATCCATAGCACTTATACAATTTTACCTTCCACTAACAGAAAACTTACAGTTTCCACACCCTCTCCAACATGTTATTTTCTGTTTGTTTGTTTTTTTTGTTTTTTTTTTTTATAAGTGACCATCCTAGTATGTGAGGTGGCATCTCATTGTGTTTATGATTTGCATTTCCCTAATAACTAGTGATGCTAAGCACATCTCTTTCATGTGATGGTTGACCATTTGTGTATCTTCTTTGGAGAAATGCCTTGTAAAATCCTTGCATTGTGGCAATCCTTCATATTTTGTGGTCATTAACCACACTTACTAGATATATGGTTTGCAAATACTTTTTTCCTTTCTATAAGTTGCCTTTTTATGCCATTGATTGCATCCTTTGATGAACAGAAGTTTTAATATAGTTCATTTTACCTATATTTACTTTTGTTGCCAATACTTTTGGTGTCATAGCCAAGAAATCATCACCAAATCCAATGTCATGAAGCTTTTCCCCTACATTTTACTCTGAGTTTTTGTTTTTTTTAAAAAAACGTTTTTGATTTTTTTTTTTTTAAAGATTTTATTTATTTATTTATACAAGCACTGGGTACAGTCAGAAGCGTGGGAGGGTGAGAGAATTTACCAGAGCCAGAGCGGGAAACAGAACAGGCAGACTGATGATACACTGCTGAGGGGAGCAGTGGGCGGCAGGAGAGGTCTGTGCGCCTTGTGGGACCCTCGCCCGGTGGCCGGGGATCGAACCGGTACTGCAGAGGCTGCGGGCAGCTTCGCGGCCCAGTGCTCAACCGCTGCACCACTGGGGAGGCCCTACTCTGAGTTTTTATAGTTTTATCTCTTATGTTTAGGTCTTTGATCCATTTTTAGCTAAAAATTTTATGTGGTATAAGATAAAGGTTCAAATTAATTTTTTTGCATGTAGACATTATTTTCTCAACACCATTTCTTGAAGACTGCCCTTCACTAAATAGTCCTGGCACCCTTGTTGAAAATCATTTGATCAAAAATGTAAAGGCTTTATTTCTAAGCCTTCTGTCTCACTGGTCTATATGTCTGCCTTTATACCAGTACTACATTGTTTGGATTACTATAGTTTTATAATATAGCTTGAAATCAGGAAGTATAAGATTTCCAATTTAGTTCTTGGGGTTATTTTTGGCTATTTAGGATTTTTGGATTCCAAATGAATTTTTAGAATGGATTTTTCTGTTTCTGCAAAAAAACAAAAGCCATTTAGATTTGGAGATTGCCAGAGATTCTTTGAATTCTTTCTCAAAGGAAATATTAACCTGACAGATAAGGGGATGGTTACAGGAAAGAGTAAGAGTAAAAGCATGAGAAGGTAAAGGAGCCTAGTGTATATGGAGAACCAAAAGTAATCTAATGTTGTTAGAGCATTAGGCAGACTGTGTCTCTGTGTGGATATGTGTGTATGTAGACTCCAGGAAGGCATGAGTTGGGAGTGAAGGGAGGGGCAGATACTGTGAAAGTTGCATGTATGTTAAGAAGTTTAATGAGCATTAGTTGAAAGGCTGAACTGTGGAGTCATCACATTTGTACTTTATAAAAATGATCCTCATGGTAAGAGTAGATGCTAGTTTGAGTAGAAAAAAAGTATGGGCAGAAGAAGCAGGTAGGAGACTTGTAAAACTCCCAGAACTGATGAGACCTGCACTATGATAGAAGCAGTGGGGATGGGTTGGGGGGAGGGGACCTGAAATAGCCTCATCCCCTTACATACTCATTTTTGAGCAGCCTCTCTTTCTTCTTGGGCCCTCAAATCCTCAGATTTGCAGAACAGTCTCTGACTTCAGAGTGGTGCTCCCAACTACTCACCTGTATTATCTAGTTGTCACCTTCTAGGAACTCAAAGGACTGTTGAAGGGGGACACTGTGTGCTGGCCCAGAAGTGCTGGGTCCCTCAGCAGTAGCCAACTGAAGCACCTTCAGAGCCAGCTGAAGCACCCACACTCATTGTGACACTCGTGGCTCTGTTGACTACTCCAGGGACCGTGTCTTCATTTCTCTCTTGCCTGTGCGTGCATTTTATCTTCCCTTGCTCTGGTCCTCACTGAGCCTATTTTGTTATGACCCTTTCCTCTCTGCGGTGCAAGGACTCTCCAGGCCCGCTATAGGTGGCCCCCGCTATCTGTGACCCTCCTGAGAAGGACTCTTCCAAGGACTGACACCTCCTGCTTCTCCTGCTTTCCCGAGCTTGACATCCCTTCACATCCTGCAACTCAGTTCCCTGCCTCAGCCAGAGCAACACTGAATAGGAATCAGCCGGGTCTGAGCCACTTCTTTCTCTCTCCATCCTCAGTTCTGCGTGAGGGCTACAACGAATGAACTGATGAACACAGCTCTGCATCTGAGTTGTAGCAGCAGTTGGGGGAAAGATGTGCTCCCCTAGTCAGAGGCCAAGTCTCTGAGCACCAGGATTATAAGTCCTGGGGCTGAGGGTGACTGCTCTGCCAGAGGGCTGCTTGGACTAGTGTGTGTGACCTATCTTGGTCACAAGTGGAATCATAGGGCTGGGGCAGGGAGCAGGCGCGAGCTCTCTGGCCCTTGTGAGCATCTGAGAACTGGAACTACTTTGGCAGTTCTGGATTGGCCAGCTCTGACCCATTGCTAAGGACGCACATTTGGTGACCTGTGGAGGCAAACTGATCAAAGTACGCAAGTGCAGTTGGAGCAGAGGAAAGCAGAGCCTGGGCCTGGCTTAAAATTCGGTGATTAAAATGATCATGGGCTATGCCTTAAAGGCAAACTCAGGGGAAGGCAATAAAAAGGACAAAGAAAGGTGAGGGAGAAGTGAAACTGGGAAGCTGGGAGAGATGGCAAGAGAATGGAGAAAAGCCAGGAAAGAGATGTGAGGAGTTTCTGCTTTCTTGAAAGCCAGGAAGCTTGCTGGAGCAAAGAGGACAAGACCCCAGACCCTTGTGGTTCCCTGGGTGCGAAGGCTGGCTGAGCTCAGGCTACCTGGAACACAGCCTCGGGAAAGCAGAATGTGTTCTCATCACTCACTTTGTGTTCCCAAACAGAAGAGAAGAGAGGGAGGGTGGCCACCTTGATCCAGCTGAAGCATCTCCAGGAGGCTGCCTCTGGATGCCACGTCAAGGCCGCCTGTCAGCCACAGCCAGGAGCTGGTGACCACCGAGCACACGGAGATGGCTTTGCTCAGCAACATCCTAGCAGCCTATTCCTTTGTCTCAGGTAGTTGTCCCATCTTGGTTAGGCCACAGCTGAGGCCTGGCCCTGGGACCAGGGTACTCAGGAGGAAAATGCTGGGTAATCACAGCAGAGAGGATCTGCCTGCTGTGCTTTGAGATGAAAGGCCTTCTGGCTTGGGAGTTAAGCTTGACATTTGCTAATTTGGCAAATGAGAGGTTCTAAGAGCTTTATCTTGCTGAAAAATGTTCAGTTTCCTTTTGGCAACAGTGAGTGAATGGTGTAGCCTGGGGTTAGCTGGTATCTGTCAGTCTGTCATTAGGCTTTTAACTTTGATGTGAGGGGGGCTCTAGGGTATCCTCAACCTGGTATTTCTTTGCAGTTATACTCAGTCCCACCCAGACTGGCTTTCTCCTGTCTCTCCCTCCTTCCCTTATCCCTTCTGTTGAGGGTGGGGATGGGGGGGGGGTGGCAATTTTAAAATATATGAAACTGTTCAGTTGTTTGAATGATCAAATTCATTTTCTGCTGCATGGGTGAGTTTTTGATATTTTGATAGCTAGCTTTTGCTTTGTTTTGCTTTTCTTGGTATCTCTGGATATTGAATTAAAAGGAAGGGACTGAGGTTCTGATTAGATTGCTTCTGACCAAGGACTGGTTCTACTCTCTACTTGTCTAGCCAAGGTTGACATATGGTGACCTAGAGTTCAAAATACTAAACCTGACATTTCTGTTTATAATGGCAAATCTGAGCCAAGATTGAGAATAAAGGAAGTTCATGTCTTCTCTTTGTGATAGGATCTTGAATGATGTGCAGCCCAACCTGATTTTAGAAAGGAGGACTTCTCAGGGCTGGTACCTGGCTGTCCCCTTTGTGGTTGGCAAGATGAGCCACAGTTGTCAGCACGTGCCTCAAATCCAGAATTCTCCCTTCTCAAATCAGCAAAGCCCCAGGTCATCAGCTCATCTCCCTAAGGAAGTCTGGTGCCTGGGGCCTCTTCGGTGGGCACCACTAGATCAGAGAAATCTCAGTTTGACTCTTTCTTCAAGTGTGTACATGGGCGAAAAGCTACTGGGTCTGGGAAAGAGATGTCTGAAACTCTGTTAGAATGTTTTCAAGCCATTGAACGATGATGAGCCCCTCGACTCTATGGTGAAGATAATCCTAAAGTGAAGTACTGGGGGTAGTAGGGAGGGTCTGGAGTTTCCAAGGACTCAGCGGACACTTGCAAAGCAACTGTCATGTGGAAATATCTCAGGTAAGAGCAGACAGGGCACTGGACTTTGGAGCTCTGCTCGGCACAGGACGTACTGGCAATCTTCCATTTCGGCCAGCGTGACCCTGAGTTATGGCCATTGACCATGGTAACTCATTGATTGGTCTGATGTTTACCAGGTGTCTTGTGATCTTGTTAAGGCTGAAAGGGGACATGGCCCTGTTTTTCTCTCCCTTCCAACCTTTCTCCTTCCCACCCCATTTTTTGGAGTTAAATATTGCTTGGTATGCAAGAAGACAATGCTGCTTTTAAGACTGCATGGTCTGAGATAAAAAGAGAATGCAAGGCTATGGAAAGGAGAATGGCTGAAATAAAATGTATTTGATCTAGTAAATAGACTTGATGATGGAAAATTGATTCTAAGTGTGATGGGGAAGACTGACTATAAAGGAAAAGGATAAGGAAACTTTAAAATATGGAGAATAACATAGAAATAATCCTTATTTTAAAAAGAGAAAAAAATGGATTAGAAGGAATAAAGAGCAGTATGATAGAAGAAAATTGTAGAAAATCTCTTAATCTTGTAGCTTTCTTGTTCTCACTCACCTGAGTCTGCTCTTCTACTACATAGGGGACACTGACCCCTACCCTTTACTTCCAGTGCATTAGTTGTTTTTTATTCTGTCCATGTAACCCGTCATTCCAGTGACATAGTTGCTAATACACACAGCACCCTTATTTTTTTTGTCCAGCTTCTGGTTAAATCAACAGACAAATCCTAACTCCAAATGAATACTGCTTTCCTCCCTTTTCTCCCTCTATACTCAAGTAACCAAACACTACTACAGTTTTACAGATTGAAGACTTTAGAAATTCCTGGCAGCCAACCTCAGTGGAAACTTTCAAATACTGTTTCATTTCTGCTTGCTTTTGAATACATCTTGTCTCCAGTCTTCACAATAGCCAGAGCAAACCTTGACCATTCCAATTATTTAAAGTAACTGTTTATCAAAATATCCAAAAATTAAGTGACAAATGCAGACTAAGGGGGGAAAATGCAGCATTAATGAAGAAGGGTTAAAGTGTATAACATATAAAGAGCTCTTACAAATCAATAAAGGATGTGTCCCAAAAGAAAAGTGGGCAAAGGGCAAGAATCAGTTTGGGGGGAAAAAAAGAGATAGCTGGTTAAAACATAAGCCCCTCAAATTCTAGCAACAAAACAAATACAGGCTGAAAACAGTGAACTTAACATTTTTAGTTCATAAAATTCTCAAAAATTTGAGTAAGCATATAAATTCAGTTCTAGAGAAAGTGTTGGGAGATCAGTACTTACACATAGTGCTGATGGGATTGTACATTGCTACAGCCTCTCTAGAGAATGACTTAGGGACATTTGTAAAAAGCCTTTAAAAATACATATGCTACTGAGCCAGCAATTCTGCATCTAGGAATTTATTCTAAGGAACTAATTAGGGATATGGGCAACAAAAAATTAATATGAGGACATTTTATCTCAGAACTATTCATAATAGTAAAAAACATCAGAAAAATGGGTAAAGAATATCAAAATAGAAAAGATATTTAGAAAGTGCTATTAAGTGAATAAGGGCTCTTACCACATAACATGCATCCCATTTCTGAGGGTATTTTCATATGTATGTATGTATGTAACTCATATGTATATAACTCTTTTGCTTATCTACATTTTAAGTATTCTATACTTCATTGAATTTACCATTGGAATTTTATTAAAATTTCAAATTTTTAATTCTATATATTTAAAACTATCACTACCCTACTCTTTTCTTACTTTTAGAACTGTGTAAGTACCTTTACCGTTACCACTTGCATTCCCATAAACATTTCGAATTCTACCTAGCCTAGAATAGAAAATTGCCCTTCTCTTCAAATATGCTCCTTCTTTATACCTCCTAGGATATTACTGACACCAGATACGCATTTTCTTCACTGACTAAATCCAGTTTCTTTGAGTCAACTTATTTCACCTCTCCATTCCCTGACAGCATTGCCTCTGCTTTTGAGTTGATCACTTGAGTTGGTCCAAGTCCCATCATGTTTCATCTGTGCTGTCATAATAGCATTTTCCAGTGGTTTACCTGCCTCCAATCTTGCTTTGTAGTCTGTATTTTGAAGAGAAAAGGTATTTCTAGAATATAGGTGTGATGATATAATTCTTTTTACTTTTTAGATTTTTTAGTGGATCCCTATTATCTCTGGAATAATATCCAAATACTTTTGTATGATTTTATAGTTGAGATTATTTTCAGCTCCAAATATTAGGAAAACTCAACTTAGTGGTCTAAACAGAAAGGCATTAAATTACCCAAATAACAGTTTATAGGTAGGTAGTTGGTCTGTTGGCTCAAAAATGTGGGGTCCAGCAGTTCTCTGATTTTCATACTATCTTTATTCTTATCGTCTATGACTGCAGAGTGGCTATGTTGCTCGTGTCCTCATTAAAAAAATTTAAAAAGACAGAAAAAGGAAGTTTTAGGCAGATTTTATCTGAGATTTCATGGCCAAAACTGTTACATGGCCATCTCTAGCTGAGATGAACATTTTAGCTTTCCAAAAGCCACACTAGTGGTTCATAGCCAGAGGTGATTATGTTCTACAAGGGGATTTCTGGTGATGTCTGGAGACATTTTTGATTGTCACAACTGAGGTGGGGACTTCTACTGGCATCTAGTGGGTAGAGATATATCCTATAATGTACAGGAAAATGCCCCCACAACAATTAGCTGCCCAATAGTGCTGAGGTTGAGAAAACACGCTCTAGAACAGAGGCAAGCAAGGGAGAAGGAACTTGGGATGGTTGGAGCTTCTCTAATCTGTAGTTTCTTGTGTGTCAGGGCTTTTTGTGTCTGCCCTGGACTTCCCCATGCCTGCCCTGACCAAGCCCTCACTGGTTATTCTAAACAACTTTGCTTTTTTGCACAGTAATTTCCTTCTCCAAGATTTCTTCTCTTCAGTCCTGGACTGGTTAGTTCCCTCCCAGTCTTCAGAACTCCCATTCCTAGTCTCAGCTTCACTTAAGAACCATCTAGGTGTTTTGCTTCCCTCTGTCTCAGCACTTGGTTTGGAAGAGTTAACATTTCTTGCTTTAACTTCTTGCAAACAACCCCTTGGGATCAAAACATAAGTTATAATGAGAAGAATAATCTCATTAATAATAATAACTTCATTAGTGACTTCTAACGGGGTTGTTGGTAAGGTTAAATGGGATGATTACTCTTTTTAATTTAATGTTTTGCATCGATAATATATTTTCCAAGCTAATGCTTCCATTTCCTTTTAATTTTTCTCTTAAATGTCACCATCTCAGCATGGTTTGCTCTGGTCACTCAATCTCCCTTATCCCAACCAGCATACCTTCAACACTTCATATTCTCTTTCCTCTTTTCCTTATCACCATCTAACATTCTATGTTTTTTTTTTTTTTATTTATTTGTCTTATTTAATCTTTTAGAATGTAAACTCCCAGGAGCACAGAGATTTTGTTTCTTTTGTTGACTGCTATAGCCTCAGTATCCAGAATGCTATTTGGCATCCATTAGATGTTCAGAAAACCAGTGAATGAGCACAGTTCAATGAGCAAGCAATATAAAAAGACATATAGTGAGAAGTCTTACCCTAGAACTGCCCCTTTTGTCCACCCCCCCCCCAAGTTGGACCTATTATTGGGCTTCCCTGCATTCTTCCAGAGTTTTTTTTGTGCAAATATAAGAAAATATGAACATATTATTCTCATCCTCCCTCCTCTTACACACAGTAGCAAATATATCACAATACTTTATTGTATTTTGATTTTTTCACTGAGGAGTATGCTATGAAGATAAGTCACATCAGCATGTAGAAAGCTTCCTATTCTGTTTCACTGTCTAGATGAACCATAGTTTATGGATGTGGATGGCCAGTGGGAGTGGTTCATATCTTTTCAAACAGGGCAACAGAGCTGCAATAAATAACTAAAACATACAAAGGTCCTCCAACAGAATTTTCAAACTATTGCGCTTTTGGCAATCTGATAGATGAAAACTAACATGTAAATGTCATTTAGCTTGTTTCTTTAGCTTACAGGTCAACAAACCTTTGCTGTAAAGGGCAGATAGTAAATATTTTCAGCTGTAACAGCTTAAGTCTGTGATGTAGCATGCAGACAGACAGACAAAACATGAATGAATGGGTAAGACTTCGTGCCAATAACAGAATAGGTGGTAGCCAGATCTCGCTTTGAACCGTTCATTGTGTGTCAATCTCTGCTTTAGTTGAACATCTTTTCATATATTTTAGAGTCATTTATATTTCCTTCTCTGTGAGGTGTTCTTGTCTTATGTCCATTTTGATTAGTTGTTTGCCATTTTCTTACTGCTCTTTCTCGATTAGCCCTTTGTCTCTGTTACTTATTACAAATATTTTCCCTAATTTGATATTTCTTTTGGACTTTGCTTACAGTAATTTTTTTCAATGCAGAAGTTTTGAGGGAGGTTATTTTTTTTTCATTTAACCAATATTCTTTTTAAAATAAGTAACTGCAAGTACAGCAGTATGGATGGTGTGTTACTGAGTTAGAATTTGAATCACTGTTTTCTATGCATCTGGCACATGGGAGGTGGTCTCGGGGGTAGGCAGTCTACTCCCTATAACTCAACTGATCATGGCAAATTTGAGGATTTGAGAAAGCATTATAGTTTCTGTTTTTTTATTATTGCCCCTTTGTAATGGAAATCCAGGGAGGGCCAGGAACCTGTATGTCCCCAGCCCTGAAGATACTGTAGATTCACAGTAAATTTCTGTGTTATAAACAACTGTTTTTTGATTTATGCAGTTTGAAAAAGTAAATAACAGTTGGCATATCTCCTCATGGAGATAGTTGTTCAGTAAAAGTGGTACTTTCATACACAGCTGTTGATAAGATGAATTAAAGTACCATTTCTGAAAAGTTACCAGGAAATGTATATCAAGAGGTATAAAAATAAGTATCCTCTTTGGTATAACATTACCTTACTGAGTGTCCATTATAAGATAGTAAGTGAAACAAACAAGCAAACAAGGAAAGTTTTAACAGCAGAAATATTCTTTGCATTTTCAAGTAAAAAAATGCAACAACGTAAATATCCAAAAGTAGAAAACTTTTTGTTTTGTTTTTGTAACTTGCTAGTTGCATTCACCAGACAGCTGTAACTATGTAGTGTGGTTAGATGAGAATGACTGACTTGTGGAGCAATACAGAGAGATGTTGCAGCATGGATGAAATGTAGATCTGTTGGGGAAGGATGAACAAGAAGAGTGCAGAGGGTTTTTAGGGCAGTGAAGGCACACTGTATATGATAAATAGTATAATAATGGATACAGGTCATTATGCATTATGCCAAATCCATAGGCTATACACCAAGAGTGACCCCAAATGCAAACTGTGGACTTTGGATGATTATGATGTGTCAGGTAGGTTCACCAGTTCTAACAAAGGTAACATGCTGGTGGAGGATTTTGATAATGAGGGAGACCATGGGTGTGTGAATTTTGGGAGTATGTGGGAAATCTTTCTTTTAAATTTGTTGTGAACCTAAAATTGCTCTAAAAGTGAAGTCTTAAAGTATATCCAGAGAAAAATATGTAAGTTGTACATATATTCTAACTGAATAAATATAAATATGTATATATGAGAAAAAATAAAATTCACTTTATTGTATTATATAGTGTGTAGTTATACAATTTTATGGTTGTGAGAGGATGATGATTTTACATATTTTTCCCATTCCCTACTCTTCTAATATTATTATATACATGCAGGGCAGGTGCTTGAATAACATTATTTTATTCACTGTTGTTTTGTTATACTGTTGGTGAGAATAAAACCAATTCCAGCTGAGGTTGAATGGAATGGTGTTTACTCAAGGACCTGCTTTTGTTAAATGTCCTTTGGTTTAAAGTTGCAGTTTCCAATGAAACGGATCGGTGGTGTTAAATGAGGACTTTCTGTGTATATTTGCAAGACATGTACACACACACACACACACATACATATCTATCTATAAAATAAATTAAGATTTTAGAAGTTGTGTATTCATGATTTAGTTCAATAAATAATTGGGAGCTATATACCATAAGCAAGGCTTTGTGCTGGATACACTGGAAATCTTAAGTGAATCATATGGGTTCTGCCCTCAAATTTCTCACTGTCATGTGGGAAAGGTAATGATTACACAACTAATTACAATACAACTACACAAAGTACTGCCTAGATTGGAGGGGCTCATCACACACTTCCTCCCTTCCAGACTCAAGGAGCCAGAAAAGCATCAAAATATAGTGTGGACTTCAGTGGTGATTAAACCAGACTAGAGAAATCCCAAGGCTTCCTACCTTACTCCCCTGGAGTTCTGGGGCTACAGGTCAGTAGGTCTTACCCACTGCAGGTGAAGAAAAGTGAGCAGGGTAGATCAGGATGACAGGTAGGGTAGCTGGAGTCTTCTGGTCTTACAGCCTGGGAGGGTGGATAGGGGGAGAGACATGAGTGGTGAAAACAGAGGCACATATACTAGCAGCAGCCCCAGGGCACTGTAATTGTCCAATATAGCTCATTTCTCAGGAAGAACAAGTTAGGGGTGGAAGGAGGTGGCGAAAACTTCCTCCAGCACCTCAGAGAGCGCAGTGATATCAGGTTCCTTCACTTTCCTGGGGCGGCTGGGGGCAGGATCCCACAAAGAAATAGCCTTGCAATGCCTTAAGAATTCAGAGACGAGATTATACTGAATGCTCTGATTCCATGCAAGCCCCCATATTCTCTTTATTGGCTATTGTAAAAACTCTTTTCCATTCCAGTAAAGATTTGCAAACTTTGGAGCCAAAAAGTCCTAGACAGAGGAAAGTTACGCTTTCCTAATGGCCATGGATCCAGCCTGGGCTGGCACTGCTGTTCTCTTCTGCAGCCAGTGGGGCATGATCTGACCTCTGAAGGTGCAAATGAAATCAGCCCAGGACCTCCACATAGGGCCCCTTCCTGCCCGTGAAAACAATGACCCTGCAGGAAGCAAGATACAGCAATACATTTATTTTTATTTATTAAAGGAAAACAACCGACAAAACCCTCCCCACTCCACTTCCTGGGATAATTACCAGCTGTCTGGATCTGGTCAAGACTAGGGTGGATCACTGGCCAAGAGGAAGTGACCTGGAGCAGCAACAAGAAAAAACATCCACGATAGAGCTTCAGTTTTGATTTTTGCAGAAGAATGATCAAGAGAAACTCTACAGATTATCTTAGCTATGAAAATCAGCCCCAAGTCTCTGCTCAGGATCCAGTGAGACCCTTTGCCATCTTTAGTTACTTTTACTGGGCTCCCCTGGAATCCCTCTCTGAGACTTAGTAGGCGAGAGAGGATATTTTCTCACCTGGGTAGCAGTACAGAGTAGACTAGTTAAGCAAAAGGGAAAACAGCAGTTTCCGAGATTCAGATCAGACACCACCTTCAAAGTTTACCTGTGTAACAGGTGGGGTGAGGTCAGGGTGTGACAGAGACAGATACACAATCAAAAGGCAGGGCAGATGGGATGAGAAAGGGAGAGAAGGGAGAGAGACAAAAGAGGGAGGAAAAGAATTAGATGTAAATGGATAGGCAGATGGGTGGAGAGAAGGAAGGAAGGAAGGAAACTAACAAATGAAAAGCTGTCATTTATTGAATGACAGATTCCCTCCCTCTTTGCTGGGAGCTGGGATAATTCCTTTCTGCTGGTCTTAACCTTTGCCACAGTTCAGCTGAGTGCTAAGTAGCGTTAACTAAGCGGAGGCTGAGATGAGTTTGCCAACGTAGATGGGGCTGATGCTTCCACCTTGATAAAAGCATGAATTTGGGGTCAGGAAGACCTGCATTTGGAGGAGGGAAGAATCTGATTGTCAAGTTAGGAAACAGTAGTGATGACCCCAGTGTGGAAAAGTGGAGGATGTGGATCCCATAAGAAATACAACAATCCTTACAATGTACTTAAAGTGTAATTTTCTAAAGTTATTATTATTTTTAAGTAAATTTAATTTTTATATTCCCCATACAATTGCAACCCCCTTATTTTGACCCCAATGCCTCCCCTCCCCACCCCTCACTCCCCATAGAGTGTCTCTGGTTCATAGTTTTTTGTTGATTTTGATTTTCACTTTCTTATAATTATTCTTTTTCCTGGTCCCTTATTTAAGTTTTCTAGATTCCTGCTATGAGTGAGACCATCCGGTATTTTTCTTTCTCTTTCTGGCTTGTTTCGCTGAGCATGATCCTAAAGTTATTTTTTAACTGGGTTAGTGTAACTAATTATATAATAAATGTGAAATATATTTTAGTGAATATAGAATTTGCTGATGAAAATTCTGTGATCTTTTTGAGGTATAGACTCTATTAAAGCCTTATAATATTTATAAAAAAAAAGAAATATGACAATGACTGAGAAGAAGTAATTTGTGCAATGGAGCAAAAAAATGAGTCAAAGATGATCTTGGTTTTGGGCACAGATAATGGTAGAATGAGTAGTACTTTAGACAGAAAGGGAAAGTTTGAAAGAAGGAGACAGAGAGACAGAAAGCTTTTTAAAAGTAGATGGGTTTGGTGTGAACTATGTTTTATATGCGGTTGAAGGTACAAGGGGCAGTTTTTAAAAATAAAAATAAAAATTTATAGATAATTCATCTCTTCAAGAGGTGGATCTTCCTTCCCATACATTGATTTGTTTTGTGATAAATGTCACTTGTTGCAAGAGTGAAGCATGATTCCATGACCATTCTATCCCAAGTTTTAATTTTTATAAATATGAGTGTGGAGAAACTTCACTTGCATGAATATATAGATGACTAACAAAAGCAGTTTTCTTACAATAAAGTCATTCATGTCTGTAAATTAAACTTGCATTCTAGGCCCCAAATCAGAGTGGTCTGTCATCAAAAATTATGTTTAATGTTCTACCAGCTGACAACTTGAGAGGGTCCTCTTTCTGTTTTGTTGAAAACCAAGAATTGGAAACTGACTTAGAAAAGGGTGTGTTACTTGACCATTAGAGGCATTCATCACCTAAATGTTGACTTTAGTATCTTGAATTATTATTTACCTCCACACTCTGGCCCTTAGTAACCACCATTCTCCTCTGTGTTTCTAAGAGTCTGGCTTTTTTTTTGATTCCATATATTATATAATGTTCTTGTGGTCCATCCATGTTGTCACAGACAATAGGATTTCCTCTTTTTCTGGCTTAATAATATTCCATGGTATGTAGAAACCACATTTTCTCTGTTATTTAATGGGCATTTGGGCTGTTTCCAGTTTTTAACATATAATTGATCTTTAACATTGTGTAAGTTTAAGGTATACAAAGTGCTAGTTTGGTACACGGCAATAATGTGCAATGTTTACCATAATAAGATTTGTTAATATATTCGTTAACCTTACATAATTACCATTTTGTTATTGTTATGGTGAGAACATGAATTCTATTCTCACAGCTGGGTTCAAATGCACAACTCAGTATTGCTAATTATAGTCACCACTTTATATGCCTGGAACTTACTGATCTTTGAAAGTTTGTGCCCTTTGGCCAACATCTCCCCATTCCCCCTACCCTTGGCAACTACCATACCACTCTGTTTCTGACTTTGATGTTTTTGGGTTCCACATAAGTGAAACCATACAGTTCTTATATTTCTTTGTCTGACTTATTTCACTTAGCATGATGCCCTTAAGGGTCATCCACATTGTTGCATATGGTAGGATTTCCATCTTTTATGGCTCAGTGGTTTTCCTCTGTGTGTGTGCTGCACATATGTGTGTGTGCTGCACATGTGTGTTTGTGTGTTATCACATTTTTCCTTATTCACTCATCTGTTGATGGACACGAAGGTTATATCCATGTCTTGGTTATTATGAATAATGCTGCTATGAGCATGGCGGTGAAGATACCTCTTGGGAGTAAGCACAAGTAGTCAGCTGCAGAGTAGAGGGAGGTGTCAGTTTAGCACTGCAGGTTCTGGGGGTACCCATGGGATACTGGGGAGATCCTCAGCTGAGGTTCACCCAAAGGCTTTTGAGTCAGAAGGAATACGGTTCCTTTAATGTCCTTTGATATTGTTATCTTTCTATTTCCTGATCTCCTCCCCGCCCCTCAACCCCCAATCTTGGGAATCCTGCCTAATTACTCAGGGTATTGCTGTAGGGAAATGGGTTTCTCCTATAGCTTCCAGAGCAGAGTAACTGACATTCACAGACCACTCTTTTTTTCCAATGGGAGATTTACCCTTGAATAATTCAGTCCAAAGTTCGGCACTGGAAAAGTCTGATGCTAGGAAACTATCTTTTCTCCTCATGTCCAAGCTCATGTTTTTTCCTTCAGTGCTGTACTGGAATCTACCCTCTGGGGGTTCAGGACTTCTACAAATTTTCTCTCTCCCCTGAATATTTGCCCAAGCCAGCATTCTGTCAGGAGGAGGTGGGGAAGGTTTGCTGGCTCCACTGGTTCTGTAGCTCTTGTGGAAGTCTGTTTGCCTAGTACTGGACCCTGAGACTCCTTCCAGGTCCTTGGTGTGCATAACGGGATCCCACGACTCCCACAGAAGCATTTTGTTCCTGGATGGATGCTTAATTGCAATAATTGTTTAAAAAGGCACAAAAAGTAGCAATGTCTCACACCACCATGTCCTGGATGACACTCCCCCATCACCACATTCACATCAATACCCTTGTATCCAGTGTTTGTGTTTTCTATTTTCTTTTCTACCCTTTTGATCTCCAATTCATACTGGTTTTATTCTCATCACTCATTTCAGTGGGTGTTTCAGAGGAGGAGTCAGAAACACATTCAATATGCTTTTTTTAGACTGATAGGGCCTTTCATTGATACAATTTAGAATGCAAAGGACTTGAAAGTGCTATGCTCTTTGATGAGGCTGTTCTATTTGTAGATAACTGATGTCTAGAAACACTTATGTGTGTGCATAAAGAAATGTGTACCAGGATACCAGGGCATTGGCTGTAGCTTTCACAGTAATAGTGAAAAATTTGGAACAATTTATATGCTATCAATAAGGAAATGGTTAAGTGAATTTTGATAGGCCTATAGTGTAGGACATGATGTAGCAGTCAAAATACTGTGCTCCTAAATACACACATTTGGAAATATCTCTATGAAATAGTCTCAAATTTTTAAAGTGAATAGGTATCACATATGATCCCATTTGTAGTCTTAAAACACACACAAAATCACATGTATTTTTACTTACACTTACAAGTGAATATAGATTATGGATAACTAATGTGCTGATGTCAATCTTGGGTCCCACAGTTTGGCCATGCCCTGTTCAAAGGCCAGGCTTGTCCCTGTATTCTCACACTCACCTAGAAAGGGGAAACTGTTCACCCAAAGGGGTGAAATTTCTATTGGGCATATCATTCTATTGGGCATATCACACAGGACCCATCATTGAGCCCACTAAGCTTATTGTTCATTAGTGGAATGATTATTTTCTCCTCTCACTACAAAAGAGCTCAAACTCTTCCCCTACAAGTTAACCTCATGAAGTTATTCTAAAATGCTGGACTGGGTTTCAGTGTGAGACTGTGTAAGTCAAATAATGCATGTAGCAAATTACTTCAAAACTCAGTGACTCAAAACAATGCACATTTATTATCTCTCAGTTTCCAGGGGCCAGGAATTAGTCTGGTTTAGCTGGGTTCTCTGGTTTGAGGTCTCCCAAGGCTGTGACAAGGCCAAGGTTGTGGTCACTTCAAGGCTCCATCAGGGGAAGATTCATTTCCAAGCTCACTCACGTGGCTGTTGGCAATATTCATTTCTTTGAAAGCAGTTAACTAGATGCCACCCTTAGTTCTTTATAACTCGAGCTTCTGGAGAGCAGCTCACAATGTGGCAAATAGCTTTGTCAGTGAGTGGGTGAAGAAAGCCAGACAGCACAATCAGCTGGAAGTCAGTCTTACGCGACCTCATCTTAGAATGATCCATCATTTTTGCCATATTCAATTTATTAAAAGTCACTAGGTCCAGCTTCCCAAAAGGGGGGATTGCATAAATGTGACTACCAAGAGATGGGAGTCATCTGAGAGACTACGTGTACTTGTGACTAAAAGGTCATTCAAGGTGTTGCAAAAGCAAATTCAGAAGCAAAGATTTCTCTGCTAAAGGTGAAAAGAGACTAGACAAATACATCATTTAAGCAAATGTTCCCTGCTTATTGTCAGTGCTAAATTTTTTTTCACTTGGAAATAATTTTGAATGTAAAGTTACAAGGAAAATAAAAGAATCCCAAACACCCTTTACCCAGATTTGCCTTTGTTAGTAATTATATTCTGAATCCATTTAGCGCGCGGTCACATGGGAAGGCAGTGTCTGCAGCCGGCAGGTCTCTGGGGCCCCGGGAGAGGTGTGACAGGGCTGGAGTCACGTTGCTCTCCGCCTATGGACTTGTCATGTCTCAAATGCTCTCTTCTTCCTCCTCCTCCAGAAAATCCTGAGCGAGCAGCTCTGTACTTTGTGTCTGGCGTGTGCATTGGGCTGGTCCTCACTCTGGCTGCCTTGGTGATAAGGATCTCTTGCCACACAGACTGCCGGCGGCGTCCCGGGAAGAAGTTCCTGCAGGACAGAGACAGCAGCAGCGACAACAGCGACAGCGAGGATGGCAGCTCGGACACGGCATCGGACATCTCCGTCCGGCGACACCGCCGCTTTGAGAGGACTTTGAACAAGAACGTCTTCACCTCGGCGGAGGAGCTGGAGCGCGCCCAGCGGCTGGAGGAGCGGGAACGCATCATCAGGGAGATCTGGATGAATGGCCAGCCCGAGGTGCCCGGGACCCGCAGCCTCAACCGCTACTACTAGGGGCGGGAGCGGGAGCCGCTGTCCCAGGGCTGGGAGCCGCCTGGAAGGGGCAAAGTTCTGCAGGGGGGAGGGGACGGGTTGCTCCAAAGAGCCAGCCCCCATTCTGCTCACTTACCGCGGCCGAGAAAAAGCAGGGCATACCCATTTTAGCCAGGAGGACTGATTTCTCCTTTTTGACTAAATTTATGGAGAAGTACAAAACCCATTTTGGTTCATCATCCTTTCCAGGTCTTGGAATGGTGCTGAAAAACCCTCTCCAACAATGTGGATGGAGACTAGAGAAACAGAACTGTGGTTTCTCTTGATTTCTGAGGATCTCAGATGTTTCTGCAGACTTCATTGCCATGAGTAATTCCTTTACAAAAGGAAACCTTATCAGAGCCTGTGGGCTAGGAATAGCAGGGTGAACTTAACCCAGCAAATGCAATTTTCTTAATGACTCCATGCTATGGAGGTGATTCTGACCCAGCAAGTATGATCCATGCTTATTATTTAAGGCTAATTTTTAAAATCGTGTTGCAATGGTAACCTTGTCCATTTTAACTGGCACCTCAGGGATTAAAATCCTATTTTTTTTTTTTTAAGTATAGTTCCCACCTCATTCATGAAGATGAGTAGAATTATTGTATTATGGGTGATGTGTCAGTGAACTAGAAAATGTCAATAACCTCAAAGGATGAAGGGTTTTATTTTAAATAGTATATAAAATAACTATTACCATCATATTTGAAAATACTGCACAAGTATAAAAGCTGTGGGTTTTCCCCCCCATTGGAAGAGAAGAAAGTTATGACTCTAGATAATCATAATTTTAAATATTTTGTTTAAAAATTTTGGATTTCCCAGAAAAGGATAGGAATGGGAGTTGAGAAATCAAGCCAAAATTAGGATGGAATAATAAATAAATATTACACAAAATCTTATCTGTCTCATGTCTGTCTCTGAGGTTTTATGTACCTTTAATAGCTTTCCATTTATGGAGATGGGTCTGGTCTTTTGCCAGGTCCTTCAAACAAGTGGAAAATGGGGAGAGATGGCTAAGTTGGAAAATGGAGATATGGCCCCTGTGTGACAGGGCTTTTTCATTTTCTCTGTGTTATATACTATGCTAATAGGACAGTTGAGTTATTATTAAGTAGGAAGGGGAAGAGAGATTTTCTTTTTTTTTTTAAGATTTTTTTATTTGTTTATACAAGCACTGGGTACAGTCAGAAGCGCAGGAGGGTGACAGAATTCACCAGAGCCAGAGTGGGGAGCAGAGCAGGCAGAATGATGAAGTACACTGCTGAGGGGAGCAGCAGGTGGCAGGAGAGGTCTGTGTGCCATGTGGGACCCTCCTCCGGTGGCCGGGGAGCAGCTGGGGATCAAACCGGCACTGCAGAGGCTGCGGGCAGCTTCGCAACCCAGCCCTCAACCGCTGCGCCACTGGGGAGGCCCAGGAAGAGAGATTTTCTTAAGGCTCACAAGAAGATGGGGGAAATGGGTAGAGAGGAAGAGAAGCAAGGCTGTCCTATAGAATGGGTCCCAGAGGAGGAAGCAGCATCCTCCAGCCTAGCAGGCAGAACTAGTGAGCTCTATCTGTCAGCTTCCTTGGTCAGCCTGTCTGGATGTTCCAGTGCCTTTCTACTGGGAGGGTTACCTCAGTTTATTACCTGAGAGGATGGTCAGGTGGTTTCCTCAGCTGAGGTCTGTGTTGCTTTAGCAAAGTACTATCATAGAACTGTCTTAAGAACTGTATACAAATTTTTGTTTGCAAGCAGGGCAATATAGTTTTCTGGAAAACCTCAGTGGCTGGCCTGGTTGGGTTATTTGGGTGGCCACAGTGGCTAGAAACAGCTGTCAAATATCTTGTCAAATCAGGAGTGTCAGAGTGAGTGGGTGAAGAAAGCCAGACTGATGGTGATTGGATCCAAAGGTTCAGCTGCCCTCAAAAGGTTGGTCTTGCTCAGCTTTTACCTCGGCTTCCCTCAGTCACTGGTTTCATTTTCTTCTCCTGCAGATGAAATCATAGCATGTGTACCTATATACAGTGCTGCTTGCTACTGCTCAGCTCCCATACAGCTTACAGGTTTGTATTGCAGGGAGGGACAGACACAATTTCACACCCTTACACAAGACAGCATGGAAGGGACACTTCTGGTGCAGCTTCATTGGTCTTCCATGGTTCCACAAAGAAGCACTAGCTGACCTTCAAACATCTGAGAAGATGTTAGAAAGAAAGTAGACACCGAGGAAGTTCCCACCAATTTTCCTTAAGATCCGCTTCCTGTGCTTCAAAGCACAGGTGGTCACTGTCAAGTTAGGGGACGTGTAATGCACTCAGCTTAGCCTTCAGCATTGGCAGGGAGCGTGCTGTGGTGCTTCTGGGTTGATGTTATTCCAGTGTACATAAGAGGAAAGAAACACCTTGCTTCAAGTTTCAAATTATAAATCCACGGGGAGGAACTACCTGGTCTGGCTTATGTAGTGTGCACATCCAGCTTTTGTGGCCACAGGGGCGTGTCTGCCTAAGCAGAGTGGAGATAAGGTGCCAGGCAGACACCAGCAATAGCCATTACACTACTCTCCCATCCTTCTTGGTTTTCTTTCATTTTTCTTGAGTCTTCTCTTTACCGTTCTCTTCTCCTCACCCCCTTCAATATGGGTCTTTCCTTCTAAACTTGACCTGCTAATCTTCTCCTTTCACATAGCCTGAGACACCTGCAGTGGCTCTAATGACCTCCTACATGCCAATGGTTTGAAATGTCTCTCTCTAGTCCTGGCTAAGTTTCATACTCATATTACCCAGTGGTGTACAATCACAGGAGACCATGTCCTATAGGAAATATTGGCAATGTTAGGATGACAATTTGGTTGTCACAAGGGATGGGGGAGATGCTACTGGTATCTGGTAAGGAGAAGTCAGGGATCCTGCTAAACATTCCACAGTGCTGAACCCCACTTTCTAGTCATTTCCATCAAGGTTCCAGTCTGTGAGCGAAAAATTATTTCAGCCATGTGACTCCTCCACACCAAATCACCAGACATTATGGGACAGATATAGATCATTATTGCTGAGCCCTGTTCGTCATCTTGGCCTATAGAATCCATAGCATGATAAATTTATAGCTGTTTATGCCACTAAGTTTTGAGGTTGTTGTTGTATATCACTAGAATATCCCTATAGTACAGTCAACTTCTCCTGGATCTACTATTCTATCTATATTTTAATAGGCATATTGAATATATTTCTATATTCTGTGTTTCTATGTTCATGACAAGGGTTACCCACGTCAGAAGTCTGGGACTGATTCCAGGTTCTTTCTTTTCCTTTAACTCACATACAACCAGCTAACAAATCTTTTCAATTTTTTAAAAAAAGATTTATTTATTTATGCATACAAGAACTGGGGTACAGGCCAGAGGTGCAGGGTGGGGGCGCGGTGAGAGGATTCACCAGAGACAGAGTGGGGAGCAGAACAGGCAGACTGACTGAAGTACACTGCTGAGGGGAGCAGTGGGCGACATAGGAGAGGTCTGCTGGGCCATGTGGGTAGCTCCCTGGCTTGCTGGGGGATCCAACTCATGGTACAGTGGTTGTGGATAGCTTCATAGTGCTGTTCTTAACCCCTTGCGCCACCAGGGAGGCCCCAAATCTTTTCAATTTTAAGTCATTCATTTTTCTTGCATTAATTCTTCCTTTACAACCTAGCTCCAGTTCTTGTCTCCTGCCTAAACAACTATAAAATCCTCCAAACTATTCTGGGTCTTGCTTCCCTCAAAGTAGGGAGAATACAAATGCATCCTGAATACAAATGCAAAGTGATTGCTATTAAATGTGAAGCTGCCAACACTCTTTTACCCCTCCCCCCAATTTCTTCCTGTCACTTGTTGAGAATGTCCCAATGTCTCTAGATCGCATGCCAGGCTCCCATGGCAGGTTTCATCCCCCATACCTTCTTGCTCCTCCTTTAACACTACTGAATTGCTTATAGTTCCTTCCCACACACTTTATTCTGGTTGTTGCTTTTGCCTAAATACCTGTCCCTTTTTTTTCTCTCTCCAACTCCTAGCCAATCTCAAGACTCAGCACAAGTGTTTCTTCTGACAGAAAAGCCTTCCAAGTCTTCTGCCTGGGCTAAGAATTGTCTTCTAAGTGTCCATGAATCCTGTGCTTGCTTTGGTCATCGCTTTCCCCCCACCCCCACCACCCCCACCCCGCACTGCTGTGAAATCCATTTGTGACTCAAAGGTTGACAGACTGTCTTGTTTATCTTGGATCCCAGCAGGACACAGAACTTGCCACATCTTAGGCTTTCAACAACTACTTACTGAACTATAGTGAATGATACATTTGCCAAACCCTGTTTCCTCTGCCTCTCAGGAACACTTTCCAGTCTCTATGTGGCCATGTGAACAAGTTCTGCCCAATTTGTTGAAGGTTTTTTTTTTTTTTAAATCACAAGAGGGCACTTTTAAGTTCTTATGTTTTAACTGTTACTTTAAGTTCATCAAGGGAATTCATCCCTCTCCTTTGCACTAACTGGTTTTGGGTTCAAAGTTAATTTGTTCCTTTCTTCTCTTCATGCTAAATATTTCCAAACCTATCTATATTTTTCTCATAGCACATCGCCTCTTTATCCTAATATTTGATTTACACGTACACATTTGTTATGTTACACTGTTGAAGCATTGTGGCTCAGGCAGTACTTCTTATCTATTGTGAGTATCAATAAAACTTCAGCATCATTCTTATCAAAATGGCAGTTCTCATTAAGGAGGCTAATCAGCTTTAGGCGGAGCAAAATTACCTCATTTGTTATGTTTTGCCTCATCTTCTCAACCTATGTTGACACTGCACAAGTTGAAAAATGGACTCCTCTTAAAACTTGTGTCCAGACAAGGGATTCCAATCTTATAATTGTTTACCAAGCTATCTCAGCCCTTATAGGTAAGGATACATTATTTCCTTCCCCTAAATAATGACTTTAGTATTAACAAAATAGCAACAGAAGTATCAGTCTTCAAGGTGATAGTCTTCCCTAAAATCTGTTATGACCTAACTTTATTACTAATTATAGATTTGAAAGTTTGTGAATTTTTTTTTTACGATTTACAAATACAACTTGCTTTTGCTGTTTCACCCTGGGATAAGAGTATCTTCTTTAGCTTTTCAAGATAGAGTCAATTTTTCCTTTATTTACCCACTGTTTCTTGCATGTCCACGCTGTGTGTCTCACAATGCACTTGTCTTTGTGCCCTACTGTTTGAACCCCTACTATTTGTACCATATTGCACACACTTCGTGCACACACTTCGTTCTCAGTATGTTTGTAGGTTCTGTCCTGAAGTAGTATCTCCTTCAATATTTTTGAATTAATAAACTAATTCACATAAGGTCTCTGAGAATGTGAGATAGGGCATATTGCAATTCTATAGAATCCCAACACTTGGTTTTGACAAAGATCATTTTCTTAAGTTTAGGAAAACCTATTTTATCTACTTGCATTTATTCTTTCCTCTACCAGTAACCATTTCCTTGTCTATTTAGAGTCCTGTCAGGATTTCAGAGTCCTGTCTTCTGCTGTTATTAACTCTGATATAACCATGTGGTAGGACTTTCAGTTTATTCTCCATGTTCAAGTGTTAAAAGCCTCACACAATTCTTACAGGTTTGTAAAGCATGGGTGTTTTTCTTGAAAGGACAGTGGCTGTTCTTAACTTCATTGATTACCAATTTTCCAATCTCCCAGCCTTGAACAAATAAACAGAAAGTTCTACATCTTAATCATTTCTGTGTGTCTCATGTGCCTCCAAAATAGTCACATTGTACACCCTTTATCACTCCTGCTTTCAAGATCATCTTGGGCTCACTTGATCTGAGTACTTGACCTCAAATGCATTTAAAAATATCCTTCCTATAGGAAAAACCTCACGCAGTAATAAAACGAGGGAATTGCTATACAAAAAGCTCCTTTTTACCTACTTCCCTTTTTGTTTACTTTCAGCAGTAGTCAAAGAATTGGACCTAACAATAACAACAATGAAGTTAAAAATAATCACTTGGGTCTCCCCGGTGGTGCAGCGGGTTGAGCACAGCCTCTGCAGCGTGGGTTCAATTTCTGGCCAGCCAGGGAGAAACCCACATGGCATGGCAGACCTCTCCTGCCTCACCTGCTGCTCCCCTCAGCAGTGTATTTCGTCAGTCTGCCTGTTCTGTTCCCTGCTTTGTCTCTGGTCAATCCTCTCACCCTCCCGTGCATCTGGCCTGTACCCCAGTTCTTCTATAAATAAATAAATCTTTAAAAAATTTAAAAAATTAAAAATCACTCTTCGGGTACCCACTTGAACATGAAAAATCCCTGAGACTCTAAAAAGAAACATTTTGTTGGACCTGAGGCCATATCCTATATTTAGGGGTATGCATGGAATTGTACAACCAACTCCACTTTGTCAAAAAGACTGTAGTCCTGCAAATTTTTTGGTTTTCCCATAGTCTTTGGTCTTTTTATGGAGAGTACCTGATATCTCATACTGTATAACCCAAGTCTGGTGTGTTTTGGGAATGAAAAAAATTGCTTACACTCAGTGTAATATCTAGATATTCTCAAGAGAACTGCCTAAACGGGAAGAATGCATCTATGAATTTGATAGAAAGTATAGACACATGAACAAAAGTGTATTTTCTCTTTGTGATGTTACTGTTACTATTGTGCAGAGTTAGACTTGTGCAGAACCAGGACTCAAGAGGTTGTTCCTACCTTCTTGGTTACTTCTCCAAGTGGGGCTTCATCCTCAGTAGTATGGAGGAGTGGTCAGGACATCTAAAAGTAACAAAGGCAAGATGAAGTAGAAGTGATTTAGCTGAATGGCATGTGCTGCTAAGAAAGGATTTTATCAGAACTTGTAGAATAGAATTCAGCAAACTGTAACCCTTGGGCCATATCCAACCCTCTACCTATTTATGTTCCACTTGTACGCTAAGGATGCTTTTACATTTTTTTTTATTTTTTTTAATTTTATTTTATTTTAAGATTTATTTATTTATTTATACAAGCACTGGATACAGTCAGATGCGCAGGAGGGTGAGAGAATTCACCAGAGCCAGAGAGGGGAGCAGAACAGGCAGAATGACCAAAGTACACTGCTGAGGGGAGCAGCGGGCAGCAGGAGAGGTCTGCGCGCCATGTGGGACCCTCCTCCGGTGGCCGGGGAGCAGCCAGGGATCGAACCAGCGCTGCAGAGGCTGTGGGCAGCTTCGCAACCCAGCACTCAACCGCTGCGCCACCGGGGAGGCCCGCTTTTACATTTTTAAACAGTTACATTTTAAAGGACTATGTCAGTACCTATATAATGTCCTTGATATTACCTTTTGGCCTACAAACTCTAAAATATTTATTATCTGGTCCTTTATGGAAAAAATTACTAATGCTTGTTACAGAGTAATGATCTGGAACTATCAATAAGGACTAGGATTAATGCAGAACTCTTGTCACCTTCCCAATGATGGTAGACTGAGTAATGACCCCCAGAGACATTCATGTAAAAATACCTACAATCTATAAATACAGTGTCATGGCAAGAGAGGCTATATGAATGGGATTAAATTGAGGATCTTGAGATGGGAAACTTTTCTGGATTATCTGGTGGATCCAAAAAAAATCACAAGGGTTTTTATATAAAGGAAGCAGACGGATCAGTGTCAGGCAGGACATGTGATGGCAGAAGCAGAAGTTTCAGTGATGCTATGGAACTAAGTTTCCATCAGCTAAAAAGATCCATGAGCCCCTAAAGAGCTGGCAGAGGCAAAGAAACAGACTGTCCCCTAGAGTCTCCAGAGGGAATCAGCCCAGTGTATCTAGAGATTTTAGCTCCAGATAACTCATTTTGGACTTCTGAACTCCAGGACTATAAGGTAATAAATTTGTGTTGTTTTAAGTGACTACAATTTTGGTAATTTGTTACAGTAACAATAGGAAACCAATAAATTCATCAGCCTTGTTGTCTTTAGGTTGTAGAAAAAACAGTGTCACAAAATATAGTGACTTCCTACAGGCAAGCTATGTAAGAAGGAGAGGTATTGTGGCGAGAGGAGGGTTAGAGTGAAGACATGAAGCTGACTTGCACATTGGTGAATTAGAAAGCATTTTGAGAAAGAACCCAAGGAAGAGCTCATTTGTAATCAGTAGAGAAAGAGGGGGATGTGGCTAAAAATCAACAACTAGGTAGCTGAAGGGGCTGAGAGGAGACATAGGTGCATTAGCCTCTGCTTTCCAGTGGCCTCTCTCCAGGTATTTATCTGAAATCTAATGTCTCCATGGGCAGAAGAACAGAAGGGAAGGAGCCATTAAAGTATTAGGGTATGTTTTTTATGTCAGCCATGTAAGTGCTGTTATTTCCTTTCCAATCAGAAATATGTTATCTCCATATACCTCTAAAGTTCAGATAAATTCTCCTTCATCATTAATGTTTTATCAGTAATTTGCACACAGTGGTGTCCTTGGCAATCAGTCATTTGTCACAGGTAATCCTTTTAGTTCAAAATTATATTATTTCAGAAACTATTCACTAAACAGAACTAGATCTCTTACAACTACATTTCGCAAATTATGTTTGGCAGATCACCAACGATTATTGCATTCATAGAACAGTTTGGGAAGAATTCCCTTAGATCACTGAAACTGAATATAGTGTACAGGTTAAAACTGATACTCTCATTTCTGTTCAGATCATATGAATCTTTTGTCTTTTTTTAAACTGAAATTTGGAGTGAGTTTCTGTTTGTACTTAAGACCTTGGAAGAGATGCCAGTAGCTGGGATTCCTGAGGCTTTCTCAGTCTTGTGGGTCCACACTCGTACAGGCTCTATGATTCAAAACTATTTATGAATAATATGACTATAAAAGCATGAAAACCCCAAGTTACTTTTGGGGATTCTCTCCAATATTTGAGTTTTTCTGAACTATGTGCATGTGGGTACAATGACACACAATGTCCCTTTTCCAAGATGCCCACAGCCCACATTCTCTGGCTCCCTCTCCAGCATGGGAAACCATACAAAAGAGCCCTCTCAGGGCTGGGAAGCCTGTGTTGCTAAAGCCTCCTTGATACACAGGAAGCTCAGATCTGCCCTCTGCCTAACTCTGAAAATGAGAAAGATGGCGGGCCTCCCCTGGCGCAGCAGTTGAGCACTGGGCTGCGAAGCTGTCCACAGCCTCTGCAGCGCTGGTTCGATCCCTGGCCACCAGTGAGGGTCCCACATGGCACGCAGATCTCTCCTGCCATGTCCACTGCTCCCCTCAGCAGTGCGTTTCGTCAGTCTGCCTGCTTTGTTCCCCACTCTGTCTCTGGTGAATTCTCTCACCCTTCTGCGTTTCTGACTGTACCCAGTGCTTATATAAATAAATAAATAAATCTTAAAAAAAAAATGAGAAAGATGGCAAGAACACTGTTCCCTCATTGAATATGAAACAGTTTTGAGGATCAACCTTGACATATTACAAATGGAGAGTCAGGCAATTTGCTCATTGAATTTAATTGCTCATATGTAGCCAGTACTTAAAAGGTATTTGGCAAGCAATTGCTTGTTTAATTGTCTCCTCCACTCTATTCTAAGTTCTATGAGGTCATCAAATTTGTCTGACTCAATATTCCTGCACAATGCCTTAGTATGTGCCCAGTAAGCATGCTCAGAGTGAACATCTGAATGTGAAGTATTAGCACCCAAAAGCTCTTTTGAAATTTAGAGGCAATTTTGGTGTTATTGTTGTTTCCGCACTAGACAATCATACTAATTGTATTAGTATCGAGGTATTTTCTTTCAGGCTATTTGAGTTGCCAATAGAAGAAAAATGGCTTCTTTTGGTGCAAATGAAAAAAATAACCATGACTGTAGCTGAAGATTCTATTGTTTAATATGAGAAAAACCTATGGAAAAGTAGAATATTTATAAAACACATGTTTCTTGTTTTTACTCCTGAGGTTTCTTGGAATACATTCTGTAGTTTCCACTGGCATCATTTCAACAAGTATTTTCTAAGTACTTACTATGGTGAAGACACCAAGAGAGTTGTGTCCAGTACCTCAGTCTGCCAGAGGAGATAAGAAAGCTCGTAATGGCTGCTTTGTGAAGTGAGAGTAAGACGGTCAAGATAAGAAGTGCCAGAGCTTGCAAGCATAGAAGACTAGCAGTTGGGGGAAAGAGCCATAGAGCTGCCTCCATTTCTCTGAAGTGTGCAGTCTTAGGGAGGATGCAGACTCAATGACACTGGAAGGGCAAATAATACACTTGAGTGACTACACCTTCATTAGCCATCTTTTCTTAGAGAAGAGCACCCCCATGTCAGTTGGGGGAAAGCACATGTTCACGGTGCTTACCTTCCTTCAAAGGAAGGGCAGTCTTCTCAGTACATTCTAGTAACTATTAATGTTCCCCTCCATGTCCACCAGCACCCTGGCTTATTTCTTTTTTACCAAAAACCTTCATGAGTAAATAAATTGTTTTTATATAAGAAAACACTATTAGACAGAAATCTATCAACCAAGATTAGCATACTTTCTCTCTATTCAAAATCATTTTGAATGATTATGTAACAATGTGTTTCTGTAATATCCACAGAGGTCCTGGAGTCAGGCTACAAGAATATGGTTATTTCCACCTAATGAAAGAGCTGGTTAAAAAAAACAACCACAATCTCAAGAGAGAGCTAGAGCAATGAATCATGATATTACAGTGGCACTAATTTAAGATTCAAAGGGTTTAGGAGGTACAACTATCCAATTCTATTGGAAATCTCCAAGAGCTTTCAAATCTGACAGATACCATTCATGAGAGAAGTAGAGGGATGCATCCTGATTGTAGAACCCCCCAGAGAAAGTTTCAGTGGCAGACTGAGAGACAGTGAGTAGTTCCAGTAGCCAGAAGCATAGGACATATTTAGGAAAGTCAGGGATTAAATCTGGAAAAGTAGGTTAGATCTAGGTTTTGGAGAGCTGGACTTGAGAACTGGTTAATAAGATTGGCTGTTTGTCCATAGGCAACAGAGAGTAAGGAATGATTTGTGAACTAGAAAGTTATATGATCAGCATGATGCTTAACAAAAAAATGAATCTGGATTGCAAAGGGTAGAGTCTTGTGGAAAGGGGTTTAGGTAGAAGACTTCTGTAATAGTTTGCTTACAGAATTAAGAAGACCTGACAACTGAGTAAATGCTGATAGGGCACAAGAGAGAGGAAGAGGACGTCAAAGATGGTTCTAAGAGTTAAGTCTGACTTATTTCAATGTGTGGTGTCATTAAAATAGTTGTAGTAAGATGAACAACATTTGAAAAATACAATTCATTATACAAATTGTTTTGGTATACACAATCTCGTTTAACAGAAACAAATGAGTGGGTAGGCAAAACCTGTTTTTGGGGGTGGATTATATTGCAGTTGACACCTGTGGTGCCCTGGTCCGCATATTTTCTCCTTCTTCTAAATTTTTCTGTGGAGGACTACAGTTCATGTGACTTAAGCTAATTCATAACTTCCTATCACTTGGACAAATAATTAGCATATTTCCACGTTTCAGCCATGTGTTTGGTTACAGGATGAACAGGGTCCCCCGTTAGCCTGATGAAATTCAATTGTAAGACTTTTGATGGGACTACTGGGAACGAGAAGGTCTTTCTTTCTCTAGGTTTACTAAGTCAGTGAAGTTCAGCCTGGTGCTTATGGGAGTTATGTGAATAATAGGGAGATAGTGATATTGACAGGAGGAAGTAAACATTACACACGTGCGCACACACACACACACACAAAGAGGAGAGAAGAAGGGGGAGAA